TTGACCCCCCCCCCCCCCACCCCCAACCCCCTCCATTGTGCATATGCCAAGGATAACCGTAAATGTGTCGGTGTATGGGGAAGTTTGACAAATGTCAGTTTTATTTCAAAATTCCCCATACCAGACAGTTATTTCTGTCTATTGGCGAGAGAGATGCCAAGGCCAAAGGTCTCAATGACTGCTTTGAGGATGATTGCATCTGTGCCATATTGTTAGCACTTACAATTACATGTACACTGAATTCAGTTCCGTCGTGAGTAATTCTCCTGCTCGTTTGCTTGGAGTGACAAGATTTTGCGTGTATTTGTAGTATCACGTTCTTCAATGGCAGTTTGCATTCTTTCCATTTGTATTTTTTTCATTTGTAGAGGTGTAGATCTATGGACTTATTTTCAGCTTACTGTATCTGTCCAGCTCCAGTTTGTGAAGCTACTGAACTGTGCAGGATGGGTACGGCGCTCATGCACACACAAACTGCATTGCATAACCCAGGGCCGCCAACCCTCCCGCATTTGGAGGGAGTCATATGCCACCACACTCCTTTTCCCGCCGTCCCACCAGCTCGTAGCAGGAGACTCTCGCCAACACGCCCTTCCTCCTGCTCTCCCGCAAGCTCCTGGTTTATGAAAAAACCTCACGCCAGACGTGTAAAATAAACCAGCGTACTTGTATCATATGGATTTTGTTTGCTCATGGGGGGGGGGGGGGGGGTAGTGGGCACTTCTTACCCTTCCCTGTTGAGCTCCCCACAGCCACACTCAGTCAGCTCTGTATAGAGGCAGTCAGTGAATATGGAGGAGCCTGACGTAGTTATTTATCATGTTTAGATCTAGATCTATAGTATAGGCTACATGTAGCTAAGCCGAGTCTAGGCCTAGGCCTAGGCCTACACTGTAGTAATTAGTAGGTCTAGGTCCTATAGCAGAACAACCAGGCAAACCCGGACTTTAGTGCCCCAGCTGAAAATCTCAGTTTATTATGGATTTAATATCAATAATATTAATTATGCTAATATATGCAAATATAAACATACCAAAACTTGATGATTTTTAATCATTTGACGTCATAAAAAGCAATTTTAAGCCAAAAATAGCAGCGAAGTAGGGGATCTCCTCTTTGCTTGATGCGAGATACTAGCGAACTGAAATAACCGAATAAAAACTATGGTGAACTAAAAAAAGAAAAGAAAAAATCAAACCACCTCTGAAATTACCTTTGAAATGTTTATTAATTTTTTCTTCCGATATGCGCACATGATAGGGGCAGGTTGGGATGGGATGGGGGGGGGTGCTCAATAGTCGCCAAATTTGGGGTAAAAGGGCAACTGGCCTTGGGGGCAGAATAAAGAAAAGAGCCACCCCGGAAAAAAATTAGAAAAATGATTACAAAGAAAAATAAGTAAATAATAAATTTAGCCCCCCCCCCAAGGCCAGTTGCCCTTTTACCCCAAATTTGGCGACTATTGAGCACCCCCCCCATCCCATCCCAACCTGCCCCTATCATGTGCGCATATCGGAAGAAAAAATTAATAAACATTTCAAAGGTAATTTCAGAGGTGGTTTGATTTTTTCTTTTCTTTTTTTAGTTCACCATAGTTTTTATTCGGTTATTTCAGTTCGCTAGTATCTCGCATCAAGCAAAGAGGAGATCCCCTACTTCGCTGCTATTTTTGGCTTAAAATTGCTTTTTATGACGTCAAATGATTAAAAATCATCAAGTTTTGGTATGTTTATATTTGCATATATTAGCATAATTAATATTATTGATATTAAATCCATAATAAACTGAGATTTTCAGCTGGGGCACTAAAGTCCGGGTTTGCCGAACAACCATAACCATTGATATCAGACTTTTCAGAGACCAAAGGCAAAGCAAAGGCAAGGCTTTCATCGGTCCAACATCAGGAACATGCAGGCTAGGTTCGCGCTCATCGATTGACGAGTACTTGTACTAAAATGCATTAATTAACTGACTAACGAAGTTATAGTCTCATCTTCTTAGGCCACCGCCGGCAGGCGGCCTGGCAGGCGGCCTGGCGGGCGCAGCCGGGCTCAATTCATTCAACCAATGGTGGTGATTTGGGGCTTTCCCTAGCTCTAGTCTGGATACTGCGTTAGAAGCACACAGTTTCAACTAATGAAGCTATGATAAGATATATATAATCTACTACTCTTATTGACAATTAAGGAAAAACCAAAACAAACCTTACCTTAAAACATCTCGAAAACACCATTTTAGCGGCTTCTGTGGCGTGGTCTGTCTCTGAGGAGGGCATGGGACGACGGATCGACGATGAACTAATAGTAATAGACTAGTCTAGTTCTAAGCACACGCAGACCGCTATTTGTTACATTAAGCTGATCAAGTGTGTCTCATGACTCTCATCTCGACTCCAACTGACCGTCGACCCTACGGCTATCCCCAGTGGCATATCTAAGGGTGGGAGGGGGGGAGAGGGGGTCCCTCCCCCTGGCCAAAAACTGTTTTCAAATCAAAATGAAGACGGGCGTCCTCCCCTGGGGTGGGCACAAAAAAAAGGGGGTGGGGTGTTGATTTAAAAAAAAAAAAAGCAGTGCTCAATACCCCCCCCCCCCCCCCCCCCCCCCTCGTTGCTCGTGTGTCAATCACGGAACTTCCGTGGTGTCCATCAGAAAGATCACATAATGTTGTTGTTTTATAGTTTTTATTGGCGTGTATATTTAGACTGCAATAGTCTTTTCACAAGCTTGACGCAAACATTATTTCCTATAATTTCATCGTCATTTCTCTCCATCATAAACTTTAATAATGTTATATTCCAATCCAACGTCTATTCTGATTAAGAGTATAGCAATTTAGAACAACAGTCTTAGAAAAACATAAAAATTGACCGGTATAATAATAGGCCCAAATTATCCTATTAAAAAAAAAAAGTTTATGGTAATGTTAAGACTTTGGAACTGTTCCTTAGTCTATTTTAGCAGTGTTGAAACCGTCGATACCCATGTACATGTGGCTGTGTTTTAGATGAATGGTCGAAACTAAAATTTATGCTGAACAAATAAAGCGACCAAATAAATGAAATGTTAAGCTTTGCTTATGATTGCGGTCTCCTGCACTTTTCCAACAGAATAGTTCAGATAATACTTTAAATTTATGATAATATGTTATGGAAGTAATAAGTTTCGTTATTATATGTACATATATTATGTACAAAAAACATTTTGACATTAAGAAATTATTGTTTGTTTATGTTGTATTATACCTTACATGTATATTATGTTCTTTGTTATTCAGTTATATTTTATTTGGAAAATATGCAGAAATAAAATCAAATAAAAAATATACGAAATAAAACGGGTGATAATAGTGAGATGCGCCTACAATTTCACATTATTTTATTCTGTTCACCCCACGATCCAATTTGATGTCTGAGAAAATTAGACTAACTTCCGGCAACATGGAAAAAAAAAAATCATTACTGCGTATACTATAGTAGGTAGTCTTTAATAATGAACAGGTTACGACGTTACATGGTTGAATGTTGAAACGAGATGTTGTATATGGTCAATTTCTCTCTCTGACAAAATATACTGCCACATCTTTAGACACACGCAAATATTCCTCATGCTCCCTAGGCCCTGCCGAGGGCTAAGTCAATCAGAGATTATTGAGACTTAATATAATATTTAATTATTTCTGTTTTCAAGACTAGTACCATTTATCAATACATGTGTAGGCCATTTCACAATTATATACTTTCCACTTGAATAGCAACAATAAGCATTATCATAATTTAAGACTAACAAAATATATATTATTACATTAGCAAACCAAGGAATTTGTTTTTTCCAATAAAAATATCCTTATTCCTGTACATGAACTTCAAATTGGCTACTTGCCTGGTTGCTGCAGAAAGAATAGATACGTATGTGGCTAAACGTCATCATAAAGCTTGGCCTTTTCTAAAAACATACTTATAATTGTACTTTGATGATTGTGAATAAGCAAAGAATCAATAACAATAAATAACAAAAGATTGTTATTGATATGTATATTATCAAACAGTATTTATGTCAGTATTTTGAAGGGTACGACATTTAAAACGTGTACCAATATCTAAACAAAAATATAAGATTTACATCAAATTGGCCACATTTAACACCCTTCTGTACACATATAATTACGACTCAATGCTATTGATACAATACCTATCACAAGCTGGATATTTTGTAAAAGCAGTACGATATGCATTGTGCAATTATTCCACAATAGCTCAATATGTCATTGAGAACGCGGATCATATCGCCTGAATTGACGGAAATTCGACTTTGGCAAGACTGTTGGCCACTGTTCATACTTTCATTGTTTTAACATTAAAAAAAGAAGGAAAGAATTGAGGCAAGTGGTGCAAAACACCCAGTCATCTTAGATCCCCCCCCCCCCCCGTTTAGGCATCCCGACCCCTCTCATCATTAGTTCTCTCGCTTTCTCTCCATCCTCTCCCCCTTTCTCTTTCGAAATTCCCCTTCTTTTTCTATTTTAATATTTTTTAGAGATGTTCCCCTGCTTCCAGTAAAAGAATTCTGGACCCGCCACTGTAACGTATAACTCATTCTTATCTTTCTATCGGTCACGACAGTGAATCATAATATATCTTTTTTGTCTGATAGTTGAGACTAGGTATCGAAGAAAAACATACAACGTAGGCCTACGTAGTCTTTATCCATTTATTCGTAATTCATAATTACTCCTGAAGTGGAAAACACTAATACTTCCAGTGATTAAAAAAACATTGAAATATATCTCATATATTATGTTTGGGTTTTTATGCATACCACGCTATTTTTTCACTTTTACATTTCGTCATTATGAGGAAAAGAACATAATGTTATTAACCCGAGTGGTGTAACAAATGTGTCTATATTTAAAGACTACTAGTATTGGTGACGTCACCTGTTTGGTCACATGCTGATGAAAAGTCACGAGACCTCGGCCCCCTTGCTTGCATCATCATGCTTTGCATTGTATTTCTGTGTATCACGGACTTTGAAGCCCAGTCGCTCCACAATTACGGAAGTCACGAGACCATCAACATCGCTTATAAAAACCAGCAGAACAGTGATCATCTCTAGTACTCTTGAAAGTAATTTACAGACGGATTCCTCTTTTCAGCCAGCTGGTGAGTTACGAGTTTCTTTCCTGAAATCATCCGTAGCATTTACGATTAAGTTAGTCAACGTTATTCGTTAATTGTTGTCATCAAATTGAAATTGCTCAACTGTTCAAGAGTCAATAGACAATTCAACAGTCAACAGAATTTAAATGCAACTGCAAGTTAGGTCTATTAGTATCAGTATCATTCATGATAATTAAATTTATTCTAGATCTACAAACAGAAGTGTTCCGAAACTTCAGCCATAATTAAGTCAAAACATAAGTTCAGCCTTTGGCGGTAATTAGGCTAAGTAGACTACTACGTAAGCAGGTAGACTCTTAGACCGAAAGCTTCAGTCTCTATAATCGTCGGTTGTTCCACTGAGACTACGTCTGGCTCCACTAGACCTCCGGTTATAGAGACAGAACGACTGCCTATGCCAGCCTGTGTTGAACTTATTCCGCTAGATTTTAGCCGCTAGGCCCCTCCCACAAACTTGCCACGGCCGTATTGTTATGCCCCCAAAATCCCCCAAAATGTCATTTTACCTCGTCCATATCCAATTTTAAATTAGGCCTAGGCTATAATACATCGGTTCCACTTACTAATTTGATGTAAATAATCCGTTTAATGGTCCCTTTTAAGGAAATTATGGGTCAAAATCGACATCCATGTTGAAAATCTTGCAAGCCGTGTTAAACACTCGTTGCCGTCAATCTCATCCCTTCTAGTCTACGCCGAAGGCAAAATGATTATGAAGGAAAAAACTGTGATAACGCCATTACGAACGTGTAGATGGCGCACAGTTTTTCCTTCATTATCATTTTGCCTTCGGCGTAGACTAGAAGGGATGAGATTGACGGCAGCGAGAGTTTAACGGACGGCTTGCAAGATTTTCAACATGGATGTCGATTTTGACCCATAATTTCCTTAAAAGGGACCATTAAACGGATTATTTACATCAAATTAGTAAGTGGAACCGATGTATTATAGCCTAGGCCTAATTTAAAATTGGATATGGACGAGGTAAAATGACATTTTGGGGGATTTTGGGGGCATCACAATACGGCCGTGGCAAGTTTGTGGGAGGGGCCTAGCGGCTAAAATCTAGCGGAATAAGTTCAACACAGGCTGGCATAGGCAGTCGTTCAGTCTCTATAACCGGAGGTCTAGTGGAGCCAGACGTAGTCTCAGTGGAACAACCGACGGTATAGAGACTGAAGCTTTCGGTCTAGTAGACTCTAAGTTCAGTTTAACTTTAATTTGCTTGGAGTTGGATTTGATTTCTACCAGTATAGTCTAGATCTAGCACAAAATCATGTCTACTTTTTCTAGTTCTTGTTGACTTGATCCATGACCCTCGCTCACATTGTACATTGGCAAACAGTCTGTCAATTTCCGTACCATAACCTTGCCGTGTGAAGTTCACCTAGATTCTAGACTAATTTGTTGAGCATCTACATTGCATTGTACTGTAGTGACGGGGCGGTTATTAGACAGCAGGGCCTACTATTTAACTACGCAATATGCTTAATTACAATACTAAGGGTCAATCCTACCATAGGCTGTAGAAGTAACTGCTTGAAGTAAGTCTCAAGAAGCACCGATGAGTGGAGCTCCACGAAGCTACGTTGAGATCCGAGACTCGGAGGAACACAGCAAACGGCATGTCGCACGGTTACAGTTCCAGTCCAAATCTAACGTTCCCAGTGATAAGCACGCCCGAGGAAACTACCGCGGGTGTCGCCTAATGCGGGACTTACGCGCATATGCCGCCAGAGCCGTAGTGGCTCAGGCTGAATCACTACATTATTCCCCACTTAATGAGTTTAAAGCCTACTTCTAACTAAAACTAAACTAAAACTAACTTAAAAAGATTGGAAATCTATTGGGGTTTCCCCGCGCAGGTTCGAATCCTGCCGATTACGCCATTGTAGTGACGGGGCGGTTATTAGACAGCAGGGCCTACTATTTAACTACGCAATATGCTTAATTACAATACTAAGGGTCAATCCTACCATAGGCTGTAGAAGTAACTGCTTGAAGTAAGTCTCAAGAAGCACCGATGAGTGGAGCTCCACGAAGCTACGTTGAGATCCGAGACTCAGAGGAACACAGCAAACGGCATGTCGCACGGTTACAGTTCCAGTCCAAATCTAACGTTCCCAGTGATAAGCACGCCCGCGGAAACTACCGCGGGTGTCGCCTAATGCGGGACTTACGCGCATATGCCGCCAGAGCCGTAGTGGCTCAGGCTGAATCACTACAGTACTATTTGTACTTGTAGTCCTACTTATCTGTAGGCCTACATCAATAGTCATCATGTCCTTTCCTGTATTCCTGAGGCTGAGGAATGAATGAAGAATTTTAAATTCTTGTGAGAATTCATGTAAACTAGATCTAGATCTGGTCATAATATTAATGTTAGATCGATTGTTTAGGCAGGCCATGTGTATTGCCGTGGCTGAGCTGAGGTACAGTAGTCTACAGTCATTTGATTTGAATGTCAATTTTAATTATGAAATCTTGTTGATTAACTTTTTCTCTTCTTTTCTGTCTTGCAGAAAGCTTCTGTTATCATCATGTCCAATCTAACATTCCTTGTCGCAATGGGCCTTGTTGCCTGTGCCGCTGCTGCCTTCGTGAAGCCCACCAGCCCAGACCTAGACTCCAGGTGGTTGGAGTGGAAGATAGCCCACACCAAGAGCTACACAAATGATATGAATGAGCTGGAGAGGAGACTCGTCTGGGAGGAGAATGTGAAGATGATCAACATGCACAACCTGGACCACAGTCTACACAAGAAGGGATTCAGGCTAGGAATGAACGAATATGGTGATATGGTAAGACACTCCTTGCTCTAGATCTTCGTTCACTAACTATGACTATCATTATCCATTCTAAATTATTATGTCTTAGAGTTTAGTCTACTTCTCGTTCAATCAATGCTCTAGTTCTGAATCATCTTTTGCCTTTTCTGCAGTACGTATTTCATTGGCTACTATGTATAAGTTGCTTTCTAGTTTTTTCCCTCTTCTGAAAATTGAAACGTGTCCAACATTCTATTTTGCCATAAGGACATTAATGCTGCAGTAGGCCTCCATGATCTTTGCATTTTATTTATTGTAATCAGTTTCCTGCTCAGAATATAAAAAGGAAGAGGAAGAAGAAAATTCTGTTCAGAAAAAAAGGGAATTATCAACTTGAACATGTTTGACTGAATAGAAACTCAAGAGTGTGATGTGCATATACATCACAGTGCATGTTGTGGAATGACTAAGCTAAAAAAACCAGTACCTGTAACCCTCGTTTCTTTGTTTGCAGTTATTCCTGTTATCTATAAACTTGATGCAAACTCACGTGCTTATGCTCTTTGTGTGGGTTGTTTAGACGCCCATTGTTCATTTCCAAAGATAAGAGATATGGATGGATAGGTCTTTTCAACTTCTGCCCACACAATATGCTTCATACTCAGTAGTTTTAACCTCAGCCCTTATGCCCCCTCTTTTCCAAATCTGAATGAAATTTAAAAATGATTTAGAAATGTTATGATGATAGTGCATTTTTCTTTTTCATACCCCTCTTGGTTTCTTGCTTCATACTTCCTTTTTATCTGTGAACATTAATTTATTTATTATCTTACCAAGCAATATTAGACCTACATATAAGATTTGTAAATAAAAATACACATACACCTTATTCCCACCCTGCTTTCATTATCTTTTATGTTGTGTAATACAATACATATAACACTGACTAAGTCTCATTTTAGTGAGGGTAGAACCATATCAGGAACCTGATCTACATTGTAGTTGGTACATGTTACAAACCACTGCACTCCACAAAACATTTGATATGTTTTATTGTCTTGAACATTATTTTTGATTTCCTTGAACCAATTATTTTTGATTTCCTTTAACTAATTATTTTTGATTTCCTTATATCAAGGCCTTTCCAATGTAAAATACCAGGATGACTTCTTGATCCTGGGTCCAGTTTTAGTTTCATTTTCAATTGTATTATTCACATCAAACTCCAATGCCCAGGCTAAAGTGTGTAATTCCCCAACACCAACTTACAATGACTTCCTGATCCTCCCATATCCTTTCCGCTATTATCAATATGAGTTTAGGTTTCGGTCACAAGACCTTGCTTTGCCAATTGTTTGTTGAGGCAGTGTCAGGTGATTCTGAACTACCGGTACGTAAATGATCATGTGATGCCTGTAAAATCCATCAGTTTGACGGGTACTGGTATGCCAGTAGGGTGTAAGACAAAGCCTCTTAAAGGAGTTTTATAGGACTGTATTATTAGTCTATCCTATCTTATCATTTGTAAAGACCTGTATCTTATCAAATTGTATCTACACCATATTTTCTTTTCTTGGCATAGATCTAAGGCTTGTTTACAAAGTCTGATAGTGAAATCTCTATTATATAGATATCCTGATACTAATACCCAAGGCCAAGCTGTTGTGTGTCATATTAGATTAGTTTCACAAATATTTACTCTCCAAATAGTACACTATTTTGTGATGAACTAAGACAATCTAACTTGTGACAAAGTCAAATAAGAGATAAGTCACATGATTGGTATCTTCAGAAGGGCATGTAAACTTGTATTGTCTTCCAAATTATTATACGACTATGTCTAGGCCTACATAAGCTTATTGTAAAAATCTGTCAGTCTTGTGACAAAGTTTGACAGCGGCTAAGTCACATGGTTGCGGTAATACTTGATAATCTAAGAATTTGAAATAAAGAGGACCTGGTAGTCTGTATCAACATTGTCTTCTATTCAACAATAAATTTCCAAGATTGATGACTGTAATGGCATCACCTGACTTCCATATACCCTGTGATTATCTGATAGTTTATCTTTCGAGACTGTCAAGACTTGCTATTAGGCTACATCACACAAGTGTCTGAATTAAATAATGGGTCATTTAATGGCAATCAATCATTATTGGTGCTCCTTTATCATTTTACCTTTTCATGTCATTGTCTATTAATTTCAATTCAATTTTCCATCCTCTTTTACAACAATATCAGTTGTAATCTTTTTGTATGCCATGTGAATTACCCCAGATATGAATGGACATCATATATATTTATTTTATTATTTTTATGGATTTTACTGCAGCATAAGAGTCTCTCGAGTGTCCTCTCCTTTTACTTGGCTTTTATCCACACTTGAGGTCAAACTGCTCATTGAATCTTTTTAAGTTTTCCACTGTTTTGTACCTTAAAAGGCCCACATGCTTCCTAATCCCGTGAATGATTGCATTATCTCCAGTGAATATGCAACAGAATGTGGTTCCATGCCAAGATTGTTTATCACAGATTGAAACTAGTCATGGATCCTGATGATTATCTATTTCATTATCCTGCATGTATTGGATTCACAATGTAGGGCATTGATTAGTTTTCAATGACTTTTAAATGGTAGATGCACACATTTGATTTATGTTTTGTTTAGTTCTCGAATTCACAGCTTCCCTTTTCTTTGCATGTTGTTCTCTCTTCTGTGCAGAGACTGCATGAGGTCCGTTCCACCATGAACGGCTACAAGAGCTCCAACGTGACCAAGGTTCAAGGAAGCACCTTCCTGACCCCATCTAACATCCAGGTACCAGACACCGTCGACTGGAGGACCAAGGGATACGTCACTCCCGTCAAGAATCAGGTAATCAGAACCTTCTTTTTAAGATATGAAAAGGGCATTTTTGTGACATTTTCTCACTTGTCAGATCCTAATTCAGTTTAATCTTTTTCTGCTTTATTCAACTAATGGAACAAACAGTGGTTAGCCTTTCCTGAATTATGTCACATATACAATGGACATGCATCGCCACACACTCTAAAACAAAGTGGCAGTCTAGGAATGTGATTTGTAGCAGATATATAGTTAATGTCATGTCATATCTGCCGATCATGGAGGAAAATTGTATTATTTGTTATCAACTTTCTTACAATGTGTGTAGTCATATGTGTCAAACAATTTCTTTACACATTGCAATTGTACATGTTGATGAAGTATTGTCGTTCCATTGTATAACCAGTGCAAATCAGCAATACAGTAATAGAAACTTTGCCTATCACAAAGTACATTTTAGAAAGGTCTGACACCACTTTCCCTTGCTTTTGTTACTGTTGACCATGATAGGGCCAATGCGGATCTTGCTGGGCCTTCAGTACCACTGGATCCCTCGAAGGACAGACCTTCAAGAAGACCTCCAAACTGGTCAGCCTCAGCGAACAGAACCTGGTGGACTGCTCTAGGACTGAAGGAAACATGGGCTGCGAGGGCGGTCTCATGGATCAAGGATTCCAGTACGTCATCGACAATCATGGTATCGACTCTGAGGATTGCTACCCCTACGATGCTGAGGTAAGACATTCCAAGCATACTATAGTCACTGATAAGGATACTTTAATGTCAAATCAGAAGAGGTATACATGTGGCTTGTGTTCCCAATTGCTCAAGTTAAATTTGAGGGGCACGTTTTTCTATCTTTTGTGCCTGTCTGTTTGTCCTCTTTGTTTGGGTAGCCACACCACTAGTTACTAAGATTTTATAACAAAAGAAAAGAAAAAATCTTTCCTACTGAAATATGGGAAAACGCAAGAAAGATCCATTCTCTCCTTTAATAATGCCCACAGGTAATTTGTGAGCTGTTGACTCTGTTGTTGCACCTGAACCCCACTATACCCCACAACATGAACATTTCAAACAGTGGATCTCTCCTGACTGCCCATGGGGTTGGTGGGGATGTTCATTGTGGGATGTTGTTCATTTGATGATGTTGTATTGTTATAGTTTATGTATGCTTTATTTATTTGCTACACAGCAGTGGGCTTCACTTTTCTACATTTGACAAGAATTAATTGTGATATTGTCTCTCCCTCTCTTCTCAATGTAGGACGAGACTTGCCACTACAAAGCATCATGCGATTCTGCCGAGGTCACTGGATTCACCGATGTCACCAGCGGGGATGAACAAGCCTTGATGGAAGCCGTTGCTTCAGTTGGACCCGTCTCTGTTGCCATTGATGCTAGCCACCAGTCATTCCAGCTGTACGAGTCTGGTGAGTCTTGAAATGCCATGCCTAGCTTTACTTCAGCTTGCTGACTAATCAATTCTCTCATTGTCACAGGCTTTTGTTTGGAACAAAAATTCTGTTGACTCATATACTTAAAGTTTTTAAAAGAAAGTTATCGCACTTCTGGCTCTCAACAGACGATTTTGTAACCTTGCATTATTCCATTGGTGTACTAGTACCTTTAACACAGAACCTTATGCCAGCTTCTGTATTTGACTTTCACTCTTGTATTTGATCATTGATAGGTGTGTATGATGAGCCTGAATGCAGTAGCAGTGAGCTTGACCATGGAGTACTCGTTGTTGGCTATGGAACCGATGGAGGAAAGGACTACTGGCTTGTTAAGAACAGGTAAATACTTCTCCTTACTCAAAAAGAAGGTTGATTTGTAAATATGAAACAATTTGGTAGATTTCTTTTTCTTTTTTCCCTTCCATGTTAGTGAATCTCATTAAAGCAATGCCCCACATAGTGTTTTGCTTTTGAAATGCTCTTGAAATGCTTTCATATTCAAAACGGTTTACAATTTGCCACTTTTTCATGTTTTCCCATATACACAATTCTATAACTAGTACTTGACCATGTTTGTGATTTTCCATATAAAAATGGAGGATTAGTTCTAGGAATCCTAGTGTGGAATCATAATGTTAAATATAATATGACAAAATTCACTACTCTTTAGTAAACTCTGTTGATTTCCTAATAAGATAGTTCTCCACAATACAGCAAAAGATATCTCACATCTTTACTTATATGCTAAAATTTGAATCCTCAACGTTTACCTCCTTCCTTTTTACCTTCACAGCTGGGGAGAGACCTGGGGACTCAGCGGTTACATCAAGATGTCTCGAAACAAGAGCAACCAGTGTGGTATCGCTACCTCAGCCAGCTATCCTCTAGTCTAAACACACCCCTCACTACCTGCTGCTTTCACTTTTGATGTTAGTGATCACTTTCACACTAGGACTCAAATAGACATTTTCAGACCGGGCGTAAGAACCAATCGACCTTCTGTGCTTCATGCCTGTAATTTATCACCAAATTATATGTAGTAAGCTACTAGATGTGCTTGGTCTTGTTCATACTTGAAAATCTCTCTGGTTAGATTGGAAATGGATAAGATGCCTCTCCTGTTAATATGAACAATAGTCAGACAAAGCTAAGACTTTCAATGCCCCCCCCCCCCTTTTTACCTTACCACAAATCAAGAGAGCATTTCACTTTCTACATGGCATTACTACATGTGGCATTGACACCTTTCATTTGCATATCGTCTGTTTGTCGCCAGAAGGACGTTAACTCAATGTAAAATCATTTGAGTCAATGCCCTCCTGGCTCCAAACAAGACTGTATTTGTAAATCAGCTTCGAGTTGCGCCTTGTACTTAAACTGAGTCGCATATCAATCGTGCTATAACAATACTTATAAATATTCAAGTGGAACGTGATAATCATAGTTTAAGTTTTCTTCTACATGTATTTCAGAACCCCTCATAAATTAATTTTTAATTGGAAGGCTATGTAAAGTTGAGTATGTTAAAATGTCATGATTTCCAAACTTTTATCAGAACATGCAGATGCATGTATTCAGGTATGTAAACCATATCATTAATTGGACATATTGAAGATATTTATATTCATACTATCATTCATACATGTATTGCACATGACTTCATGTCTCAACCTCTTGTGTCATTGACTGCCTTTTGTTGACTTTCTTTCTTACATTATTGACCAGCTGATGCTAAGAAATGTGTGTGCTGCATGTATGTATTTCTCAACAGTCCTCAAGTACACAAAAACATTGTAAAAGATGGTAGAAAACATTGCTCTAGACATAGATCTATTTTATCTTTATGACTAATTTATTTTCTGCTATCTATGTACTTAGTTCCCTTTATCTATAGTGCCTTGTGTATTTATGATATCTCTTTTTAGCACCAATCTCAGATATCTCAAGACATTCTATTATTGACTATTACCTAATACTTGCTAAAAGCAGCGCAGGCAATGTTTGGTTGAAAGATCCATAAAATAAGAGCTAGATAATAGATATCATACACAGTAACACTGAAGTTTGAAAAACTGAATGTCCTTTGGCAAACACTTCCATTTTTAGTACAGATGTGTATCGTGCAATGGGATTAGGATATTTGCAACTTTGTACCAGTTCATCACTTGAACTTATATTTCAAAGGCTTCCATTTCTTCTGTTGATACTTTTGCTTGCCTTTTACTTTTGTTTGCTTAGGGTCCTAGGTTTTTATTCTTTATTGGGAGAGGGAATAGGTCAATTTTTCTTTTCTCTTTGTGTGGGTTGTTTAGTGATAGATGCAGTTTTATTTATTTAGCTTGAAAGATACATTTAACTTTATTCTAGTTGTGGGAGGGGCCTCTTTGGTTTAAGATTAAAACAGTAGAAGTAGATTTCTGTATCTGTGAATATGTGTAATTTCAGATTTAATGTTTATATAACTTGTTGTTCTGTAAATGACTTTTTATACTGAAAATAATTGAAATAAAGATCATGAATGTTATTGTACAAAGTGGTGTGATGATTATGTACTTTTATCAATTCGTATAGAATAACCGCGACCATGGAATCACTGTGTGTCCTATCAAAGACAGAGAAGGATAAGGAGTGTAAGAAGGGACGAGAGAGAGACGAGAGAGAGAGAGAGAGAGAGAGAGAGAGAGAGAGAGAGAGAGAGAGAGGGAGGGGGAGAGAGAGAGATAGAGAAATAAAGAAATAAAAAAAGAGAGAGATGAATCCATGTAGTGTATATTGGTCTTTGTTGTTTTTTAAAACAAGTGGACAGATAATCGGGAGTAATCTTAACTGGCCTTGAGGAGGAAGGACAGAAAACGATAGACGGCAACAAGCAGATAGTTTTTACATGTATGTTTACTTTGTACAGTAAAGCAAGGGAATTCGCATAGCAATAAAGAGAATATATAGACTTCATTTATTCAAAAAGTATACAAGTAGAACCTGTATATTTCACAATACTATTGCTACAGGTATGATCATCTCTTGGATCCATGACGAATTCTTCATATATTATACATTGAACGTACATGAAACAAAGGATAGGGAGAATGAAATGTACATGTTTTTTATTGAATACAAGATAAAATTGTGACCCCGGCGGCAAAGTTAGACCCCCAAAATCAGCTGAAAATGCAATAACCCCCTTTTTCCATTTTGGATATCAGATTATTTTTTTGACCAACCATTTCCTCAAAAGTTCATATGGAATGTACATGCAATTTAAGTGGGTAGTACATGTCAGAATAACAAGTTTAATAAAATGCAATAACAATGTTGAGAATCGAAATGGACGTAACTGATTGATATATTTTGCAAGGATGTTTTTCTTATACAGTCTAAAAATAAATGAAGTATTCTACATACGGTACTACGTTATACTACCAATTCAATTAGTTCATGATTACAAAATGTTGAGAATACACCAATCAACTACGCCCGCCTCTCTCCACTTCGCTCTCTCTTTCTCCTTCCCTCCTCTTTCTCGTTTTCCGTACCATATCTTCTCTATCTTACTCCTCCCCATCACCACCCACCCCCTCTTGCTCATTTTCTTCTAATTATAATTAGAACAATATGACATCAAACTGATAATACTCAAAAAAATACAAAAACTGTATAAAAAGGAAAAATAGTACAAAAGCTCGACTTTACAGTTCGCCCTAGCAACAAATTTTGCTGCAGAGGTTTCTCAAAACCCACTTAATAGATTTTTTGTAAAATATAAAAAAAGTTCAAGAAATTGCTGTTTAACATTGATATTAGAGGCGTCTGAGAATATTGTACTGATGGTAACAATTACACATATCTGTTAGTTTATTATTCAGTCTCTTGATCCTACCCTCCAACTTCGCCTCCCCATTTTTGTTAACCTACATAGGACCTCCACTTTTAAAGCCCCAGTGGTGCTATTGATTATTTAAGATTTAATTTTTAAACTAGACTCCTTTTTTAACACTATCTCCTTTGTATTCGATCTCATCTGTAATGTCGATGTGTCCTTCTCTTCCATGTTTCTCCTCCTTGGCCTCCAACTCAAATGATGACGCACTATCTGCATGAAACGATTTAGGTCTAGAAAAATAAAGAAAAGAAAAAAAAAATAAGGGGGGGAATATATACATTAATTATCTAGACAGGATGAGCAATAAATTTACAAAGTTTATTATTATTCGTTCTGACCATACATAGAGGCGGCCAGGAAAATATAAGTTCTAGTTTTATAATTAGACCACAACACCGTCACCGTCAGGCGCGGATCCAGGAATTTCTTAGGGGGGGGGGGCCTCAAGTTTGAAATTATGCGAGCCAAATATTGGGACGTTATGGTGACCAGCAGTGGCGTAATGAGCAAAAACGTTTGGCGGGAGGGTGGGGGGGGGGAACTAAAAATCCGCACCACCCCCACTCTTACATGCAGGTCCCACTGAACGTTTTTCAAAGTGCGTGGGGTGGGGGGGGGGGAGGCTATAGAGTATTTATGATCAGATAGAGCGTAGAGTTTAGAGTCATAGCCCGGGGTGGGGGGGGGGGGGTGTGTCAAGAAGCGAAGCGCCCGGAAGCTCAGGGGGTATGGGCATTTAATTACAGTCAGATGAGCATATTTGATACCTTATTCATGACACTGGCAGGTCACTAATTGATGAGGGGTCAAGGGGGCGGAGCCCCAGAAGCTCAGTGGCTTAAGGCATTTATAAAGGTCAGATACGCATACAAGGGCCTGCCTTTAATAGGGCCAGAGCCCCCGGAAGCTCAGGGGTTTTAGGCGTTTAATTACGGTCAGATGAGCATATGTCAATACCTTATTTGTGACACAAGCAGCACACTAATTGGCGTTAGGTCCAAGAGGGCGGAGCCCCCAGAAGCTCAGGGGTTTTAGGCATTTTATAATGGTCAGATGAGCGTGTTTTGATACCTTATTTGTGACACTGGCAGGACACTAATTGGAAGTGAGGTCCAGGGGCGGAGCCCCCAGAAGCTCAGGGGTTGGAGGCATTTTATAACTGTTAATGGAGCATATTCTGACACTAATTAGTGACACTGGCAGGTCACTAATTGGCGTGGGGTCTAGGGGGCAGAGCCACCGGAAGCTCAGGGATTTTAGGCATTTAATTACGGTCAGATGAGCATATTTTGATACCTCATTATTTTGTGACACAGGCATAGGTCACTATTCTTTCTGTCTTTCTATTTCTCTTTATTATACTTTTTCAAAAAAAAAATTATAGGGGGGGGGGGGGGCTCGAGGCCCCCTAGCCCCGCCATTCCGTGGGCCCTGCCATGTAGGCCTCTTAATAAGCATATTTCTTGCCTGACTGTAAATTTAGGAATTTGTCATTTTCCAGCAAACGCATACAAAAAATTATGTCATTTCATGCAGGAACACTTGTAAATCACCGGTATCGGTTGGCGGGAAAAATCGCAACCGACCTCCCCTACCTTCCTTCTTTCTTTCTTTTTTCTTTCCCTTTCTCTTCTTTTTCCCTTTCTCTTTCCTTCCTTCTTTCTCTTTGAGGTTTGCTAGGGGGAGACAAGCGTCTCCCCCCCCCCGATTCACACATTGTTTGCGGGATTAAGAGCAACTGATCTCTCCTTCTTTTCACTCTTTTCTTTCCTACTTCCTCTGTTTTTTCCCCCTTTTAACTCTCCTCTTTCCCTTTTACTTCCTTCGCTCTTTTTTTTTTTGGGCGGTGGGAAAATTTCAACTGATATACTTTTCTTCTTCCTCTTTTTTTCCTTCCCTTAATCTCCTCTTTTCCTTTTTCTTTCCCTTTCATTCCTTTTATCTTATTGTTTTGACGGTGGGGGAGGGAGGGGGGCAGAATACTGGGAGGCAAGGCCCTTTCGTTCCCCCCGATCTCCTTCTTTTCCCCGTTTTCTTTTCTTCTCCTCCTCTTCTTTCTTTCCCTTTCTCTCCACTTTCCCTTTCCCTTCTTTTCCTTCTCTCTCTCTCTCTCCTGTTTTGCGAGGGGGGGGGGGGGGGAGGGGCAAGGCCCACTCGGCCCCCATGGATCCGCGCCTGGTGTCATTATTATGAAGAGGCAGAAAAAGAACTTTCTGGAAATATGATTTTATCTATGAAATAAATTCAGATATTGTTCGCCAATTTTTTTTTTTTGGTACCCTCTCTTCAAATTGTTTTCAATCACTCATGCGTGAAATATGCATGATATAGTGAGTTGCATTAAATGAAAGAAGAGGATTATAAGCTTTACAAATAATTATGTGTCCTCTATTAATTACAATTGTGATTAAGTTATGATAATGCATCGATAATTCTCGGTTTCGTGTTTCTCGGACGCACTCATCTCATTTTGTAATAAAATAAAAATATCCATGTTTTGGTAATTGACGTTAATATAATATTCCGCGTTTAGGGCTTAATACAATGTCTCTAAGCGCTTTACCGATATACTATCTTCCATGGTAAATCTAATCAAGATTTTGGTCAGATTCATTAATGAAACATTATTTTTTGTCCCCATGTAATTTGGTTTTTATCTCGTAACTTCATCCATGTGATTGAAATAATTCGGCAGCCATTTTGAATATATAAAGGGCCGCCATTTTGTACAAAATATGACAATTCTCAAAACTCTAATTCTGTAACTATATGAGGTATTTGAATCAAGTATTTTAAATTTATGACATCTTTGTCCCTTATGTCGTGGAATTGTCCATATTTATTAACATCAATCACATATTCAAAGCGTTATGAATTGCATCACATTACAACTATAATATGCTTCTAATTTGGATTAAATTATACAACAACAAAATCTTAATTAAAACATACACACACAAAAAAGATAATAGTAGCAATATCTATATATCCCTTTAAACCCCTTCTTCCCCGCTTAGCCCCTAACCAACCAGGCTTCATCGCTATGCCCATCCTATTTTCATCATCCAAAAACAATCCTATCCACTGTTACACCAGTGGCGGATCCAGCCGGCGGCGAGCAGGGGGGGGGGGGGGGGGGGGGAGGGTGGGGGGGGGGGGCTCAATTCGTGAAAAAATATTTTGCGATGAATCAGCCGATCAACCGGCCGAGAATAAGCAGGGGGGGGGGGTGGGTAAAGAGCAATACTTTTTTTTTTCATTTGCGGCGAATAAGCGGGGGGGGGGGGGGGAGCACTTAATTTGTTTGTTTTTGAAGGTCATATGGTGGTTAACATCTCCCCCCCCCCCCTTTGGCCAGGGGTGGGGCCTGTCTTTTTTTAACACTTTTTTTTGCCAGTGCTTGTACCCCCTTGTATCACTATGCCCGCCCCCTTCTCATCTACCTCAAACTATCCTATCCACTGTTCATAATTAATAATAAAATTAAAAAAACGAAGTATAGGTATCCCATTAATGCTCCTTCCCGGCACCCCATCACCCTGCCCCTCCACTTCCTTTATATCACATTATTTCTTTATATTCCACTCCTTTATATTACATTACATTATTACTGGAGGAGTTCATCTAACTAATTCTTTAAAAGCTTTAC